AATAGCATCCTTCTAAAGAATGAATGGGTCAACCAGGAAATTAAAGAAGAATTGAAAAAATTAATGTGAACAAATGATAATGAAAACACAACGGTTCAAAATCTGTGGGACACAACAAAGGCAGTCCTGAGAGGAAAATATATAGCGGTACAAGCCTTTCTCAAGAAACAAGAAAGGTCTGAGGTACACAACCTAACCCTACACCTAAAGGAGCTGGAGAAAGAACAAGAAAGAAACCCTAAACGCAGCAGGAGAAGAGAAATCATAAAGATCAGAGCAGAAATCAATGAAATAGAAACCAAAACCACAAAAGAACAAATCAACGAAACTAGGAGCTGGTTCTTTGAAAGAATTAATAAGATTGATAAACCCCTGGCCAGACTTATCAAAAAGAAAAGAGAAAGGCCCAAATAAATAAAATCATGAATGAGAGAGGAGAGATCACAACTAACACCAAAGAAATACAGACAATTATAAGAACATATTATGAGCAACTCTATGCCAACAAATTTGACAATCTGAAAGAAATGGATGCATTCCTAGAGACATATAAACTACCACAACTGAACCAGGAAGAAATAGAAAGCCTGAACAGACCCATAACCAGTAAGGAGATTGAAACAGTCATCAAAAATCTCCAAGCAAACAAAAGCCCAGGGCCAGACGGCTTCCCGGGGGAATTCTACCAAACATTTAAGGAAGAACTAATTCCTATTCTCCTGAAACTGTTCCAAAAAAATAGAAATGGAAGGAAAACTTCCAAACTCATTTTATGAGGCCAGCATCACCTTGATCCCAAAACCAGACAAGGATCCCATCAAAAAAGAGAACTACAGACCAATATCCTTGATGAACACAGATGCAAAAATTCTCACCAAAATACTAGCCAATAGGATCCAACAGTACATTAAAAGGATTATTCACCACGACCAAGTGGGATTTATTCCAGGGCTGCAAGGTTGGTTCAACATCCGCAAATCAATCAATGTGATACAACACATTAATAAAAGAAAGAACAAGAACCATAAGATACTCTCCATAGATGCTGAAAAAGCATTTGACAAAGTACAGCATCCCTTCCTGATCAAAACGCTTCAAAGTGTAGGGATAGAGGGCACATACCTCAATATTATCAAAGCCATCTATGAAAAACCCACCGCAAATATCATTCTCAATGGAGAAAAACTGAAAGCTTTTCCGCTAAGGTCAGGACCACGGCAGGGATGTCTATTATCACCACTGCTATTCAACATAGTACTAGAAGTCCTAGCCTCAGCAATCAGACAACAAAAGGAAATTAAAGGCATCCAAATCAGCAAAGAAGAAGTCAAACTCTCACTCTTAGCAGATGATATGATACTATATGTGGAAAACCCAAAAGACTCCACTCCAAAACTGCTAGAACTTGTACAGGAATTCAGTAAAGTGTCAGGATATAAAATCAATGCACAGAAATCAGTTGCATTTCTCTACACCAACAACAAGACAGAAGAAAGAGAAATTAAGGAGTCAATCCCATTTACAATTGCACCCAAAACTATAAGATACCTAGGAATAAACCTAACCAAAGAGGCTAAGAATCTATACTCAGAAAACTATAAAGTACTCATGAAAGAAATTGAGGAAGACACAAAGAAATGGAAAAATGTTCCATGCTCCTGGATTGGAAGAATAAATATTGTGAAAATGTCTATGCTACCTAAAGCAATCTACACATTTAATGCAATTCCTATAAAAATACCATCCATTTTTTTCAAAGAAATGGAACAAATAATCCTAAAATTTATATGGAACCAGAAAAGACCTCGAATAGCCATAGGAATATTGAAAAAGAAAGCCAAAGTTGGTGGCATCACAATTCCGGACTTCAAGCTTTATTACAAAGTTGTCATCATCAAGACAGCATGGTACTGGCACAAAAACAGACACATAGATCAATGGAACAGAATAGAGAGCCCAGAAATAGACCCTCAACTCTAAGCAGGAAATAATGCTCAATGGAAAAAAGACAGCCTCTTCAATAAATGGTGTTGGGAAAATTGGACGGCCACTTGCAGAAAAATGAAATTGGATCGTTTCCTTACACCACACACGAAAATAGACTCAAAATGGATGAAGGACCTCAATGTGAGAAAGGAATCCATCAACATCCTTGAGGAGAACACAGGCAGCAACCTCTTCGACCTCAGACGCAGCAACATCTTCCTAGGAACATCGCCAAAGGCAAGGGAAGCAAGGGCAAAAATGAACTATTGGGATTTTATCAAGATCAAAAGCTTTTGCACAGCAAAGGAAACAGTTCACAAAACCAAAAGACAACTGAAAGAATGGGAGAAGATATTTGCAAACGACATATCAGATAAAGGGCTAGTGTCCAAAATCTATAAAGAACTTAGCAAACTCAACACCCAAAGAACAAATAATCCAATCAAGAAATGGGCAGAAGACATGAACAGACATTTCTGCAAAGAAGACATCCAGATGGCCAACAGACACATGAAAAAGTGCTCCATATCACTGGGCATCAGGGAAATACAAATCAAAACCACAATGAGATACCACCTCACACCAGTCAGAATGGCTAAAATTAACAAGTCAGGAAATGACAGATGCTGGCGAGGATGTGGAAAAAGGGGAACCCTCCTACACTGTTGGTGGGAATGCACGCTGGTGCAACCACTCTGGAAAACAGCATGGAGGTTCCTCAAAATGTTGAAAATAGAACTAACCTATGACCCAGAAACTACACTACTAGGTATTTACCCTAAAGATACAAACGTAGCGATCCGAAGGGGCACATGCACCTGAATGTTTATAGCAGCAATGTCTACAATAGCCAAACTATGGAAAGAACCTAGATGTCCATCAACAGATGAATGGATAAAGAAGATGTGGTATATATACAGAATGGAATACTATGCAGTCATCAAAAGAAATGAAATCTTGCCATTTGCGACAACGTTGATGGAACTAGAGGGTATCATGCTTAGCGAAATAAGTCAATCGGAGAAAGACAACTATCATAAGATCTCCCTGATATGAGGAAGTGGAGATGCAACATGGGGGGTTAAGGGGGTAGGAGAAGAATAAATGAAACAAGATGGGATTGGGAGGGAGACAAACCATAAGTGACTCTTAATCTCACAAAACAAACTGAGGGTTGATGGGGGGAGCGGTGTTGGGAGAGGGGGTGTGGGGTTATTGACATTGGGGAGGGTATGTGCTATGGTGAGTGCTGTGAAGTGTGTAAACCTGGCGATTCACAGACCTGTACCCCTGGGGATAAAAATATATGTTTATAAAAAATTTAAAAAAATATTTCAATTTGGAAAAAAAACAAACAAAAAACAACCACATTGAGATACCACCTTACACCAGTTAGAATGGCCAAAATTAGCAAGACAGGAAACAACATGTGTTGGAGAGGATGTGGAGAAAGGGGAACCCTCTTACACTGTTGGTGGGAATGCAAGTTGGTATAGCCACTTTGGAGAACAATGTGGAGATTCCTTAAGAAATTAAAAATAGAGCTTCCCTATGACTCTGTAATTGCACTACTGGGTATTTACCCCAAAGATACAGATGTAGTGAAAAGAAGGGCCATCTGTACCCCCAATGTTTATAGCAGCAATGGCCACGGTCGTCAAACTGTGGAAAGAAACAAGATGCCCTTCAATGGACGAATGGATAAGGAAGATGTGGTCCATATACACTATGGAGTATTATGCCTCCATCAGAAAGGATGAATACCCAACTTTTGTATCAACATGAATGGGACTGGAAGAGATTATGCTGAGTGAAATAAGTCAAGCAGAGAGAGTCAATTTTCATATGGTTTCACTTATTTGTGGAGCATAACAAATAACATGGAGGGCATAGGGAGATGGAGAGGAGAAGGGAGTTGAGGGAAATTGGAAGGGGAAGTGAACCTTGAGAGACTATGGACTCTGAAAAACAACCTGATGGTTTTGAAGGGGCGGGGGTGGGGTGGGAGGTTGGGAGAGCCAGGTGGTGGGTATTAAGGAGGGCACGTATTGCATGGAGCACTGGGTGTGGTGCAAAAACAATGAATTCTGTTACGCTGAAAAGAAATAAAATTAAAAAAAAAAAGAAAAGGGAAAAAAGGAAAAAGAAAAAAGAAAAGAAAGAAAGGTGCTTTCATAAGCCAGATATTACGAAAAACAAAGAAAAAAAGTAAAGAATTATAACACAGAACTATTATCCCAAGTTCTAGTGATATATTTTTTTTCTAGTGATATATTTTTAAAATGAAGAAAAATAAAGTTCATCTTTACAGAAAAATGCCAACAAATAAATATAGAAGCAAAGATAGAAATAGAAAAACCACTATTTCAAAATGACCCAGACAAAGATCACAGTGAATGCTAACACCACTGGATGAAAGGTTTTGGACACAGGATAGCCACATAATCTCAAAACACCACACCACAGATTATTTAGTAATTGTCAGGGGAAAATGTGCCTTTATAGTTCGCCTTATTTTGGTGAGGCAAAGCTTCTCCCATGCTTATTGGTTATTCGGGTGTCCTCTAATGCTCACATTCTCGGTCTATTTTTCTGTTGCCTTGTTTGTATTTTATTAATTACATTGTATAAATTCTTATACACTTTGGACATTGTAATACAAATGTCTTTACAGAGTCTGTGACCTGCTTGTGTTCCACTTTTGGCAAATTTATACATTCTCCCCTGTCCTCTTGATTGTACATATAGCCACCTACGTTTTCTTCTGAAGGCTGGATTCTATTGAGCCTGCTTTTCTAAGGATAACAGTGAGCATTGGCCTTAACTGTTGGAAGATACAAGCCACTGGTGCAGCCTCCTTTCAATGTCATCTTGTGGCTCTAGGAGGTTTTCCAGCTTTACGTGGAACCTCCTTTCAACAGCACAATCAAAATTTGCTATAAAAAATATGATAAAGTTATAGTTTTAGGACATTAAAACTTAAAAAAAGAAAGGAATTTGTCATATAATCTTACGTGAGTGAACAAAACTTCATTCCTGAGCTCTTCAAAGCTTTCATTTGGAGTCCAAGCTTCAGCAAACTGCAGGAAGTCCCATTTTTCCTTATCACCTTCCTCAACCTGAAGTTTCTCCTTCCTACCATTCAATGTGCTCCCTGTAACTTGTGTCTGTAAAGTGAAGAAGCATATGAATTTTACAAAAGTTCTCTCACAGCTGATACTTACTAAGGAGTGACCTGATTTTGCATTTAAACCACAAGCAATTCACCAAAGAAACTTAAGTGTTTTAACCTATCATGGACTTCAGTAATAAAATTTTTCAAATTTACAACCGAATTGCCAAGTAGATGATTCCCATACTTAATGAGGAAAATGTCTAACCAGAGAAGTTATACTATTTGCTCTCATAAAAACTTCATTCTAATATTTATAAACTTTGAAACTGAACCCACATAATTGGCCATTTTGAATACATATATACTCCATGCTTGAAAAACATCCTCTAATAATTAGTCAAATCCTTTCTATGAATACCTCTCTGGGCTGGGGAGGAGAAGAGACAGTTGAGTGGACAGAACAAGTGACATCCCTGCTACCCTTTCTGGGGACCAGGTACAGGCTGTCTTCTGCTCAAAATTAGCCAGGAACTCAATCCTTCCTGGTAAGGGTTTATTCTTAGCTTACAAAAAGGACTTGGGGTTTGACACTGTTATTATTCCTTGCTAGCTCATCCTTTTCTGATCTCTAAAATAGTAGATGAAGGCCATGGAAGACAATAAGAACACATGTAAGTGCACATCTCTCCCTTAACGGAGAGGATATGTAAGGTACTACCAACTGAAGACGTCTCTAACCTTGGTTCGTATTAACATCACTATCTTAGTGTACTTGAATATCCTTTGCCTGAAAACACTACAACTCAGCCTCTTAACTTACGTAGGCTCCACATAATGAATAAAATGGTAACCTGGACATTGGGGAGGGTATGTGCTATGGTGAGTGCTGGAAGTGTGTAAGCCTGACGATTCATAGACCTGTACCCCTGGGGCTAATAATACATTATATGTTAATTTAAAAAAGTAATAAAAAATTTTTGAAAAAAAAGTAACCTGGTTTGAATTCAAGCTTTACCTTTCGATTCAACATTCCCCACATAAGGGTGTCTAGAGTCCCATTTGCAACAAGGTAGTGAATATTCACAGAACTGCACTGTCCAATTCGGTGTGCCCGGTCTTCTGCTTGTTTTATATGTCCAGGGTCCCAGTACAACTCAGCAAATACAACATGAGTTGCAGCAGTAAATGTCAAACCCTAAGCAAAATAAAGTGAAGAAACTGGATGCAAATAAACTGAAAATGTAACACAGAGCCAGATATAATAAAGTCTTTCTGAACATGTTAAATGAACAAGAGAAAGCTAAAGGACTTAAAAATAAATCAGTCTTTCGTTTTAAGCCAAATTAAGAAAATTTAATTCAGGAAAGGCAAATGAAGACTGCTTACTGCAAATGTCCAGGTGAACTACAAAAAACACATTTAAAAGGTATTTCAATACTTCAAAAGTTAGTTTGATGGATATATATATAAACAAAATCACTTTATCCTCTGATGAGGACTGGATTCACATTACCACTGGAAAATCTAATAAAATACATTATAAATGAGAATATAATTTCTAACACATGGTATCCATAGCAACTAGGCAGAGAGCAATGACTTCTTCTATTCATTTAATTCATAGTGTTGTTCTATAAAGCAGGAAAATCATGTCTTCAGTCACACTGTTCTCTTCCCATGAAATTTCTCATGTTACATCTCAAACACCCTTAAGTTTACTGGCTTCTATCTCAATATATATAACACAATCGGATTTTTTGTGCAATTGCATTTTACATCAGTTTGAAATAGTGTGACATTATTAAGTATTAACTAGGTCTTCTTGTATAATCACTATATGAAAAATAATGCAAATCTCCTCGAATTAAGAGTGTTTTTAAAAATGCATGATTTTAAAGTTGAAAGGCTGGTGAAACATGAAGCATACTTAAGCTATTGTCACACATTAGTCAGTGATGTTATGTGGTTGAAAGAAATACCTACCATCCTTTGAAAGAATCATCTAATCCATGCTGTTCATATGCCCTGGAACTTCCATCAGAGAATGACTTTTGTGACTGCTGTGCTGTTATTTTTACATTGCTTTAACTTAAAATATTTTTATATCACATAACAACATTATCATTAGCATTCATGAAATGGTGGCATGAGTTCTCAAGTTGAAAAATTCACTAAAGACCCATCACTTTGGAACAGAAGTTAGAAGTTATAAAAACATGCAAAGCCAACAACCATCAAGCTAAACTGTGCTGATATTTAGGACAGGAAACACCACAAAACATTAGAGATGATGCTAGAAAATAACAAATAGTATTTAAAGAGGGAAGAACACCTTTAAGTGTGTTAGAGGTATCATATAACCATACAAGAATAAAGGGGAAATATGCTGGCAAGACCCAAATCCCTCTAACATACTACTAAACTACAATGGAAGATTCACATGCCCCAAGAACAAAGCCCTTTCTAGTTTCCTTTATTCCTATGAACATACTAGTGTTCAGGTATATGAGTTTTGAATTATACCAGGTTCTCAGGAATACAGCCTTGAATAAAATATGGGTGTCCTAAACAATCTTAATTTCAGAAGGTCTTTTATCAAGCCACCCCCAGATCCTCCTGCCTGGCTTCCTTCTACTTTTTTTCTCCCATGTTATGAGTACTCTATTTCTAATTTTAAGCTCTTTTTGATGACATTCTCTTTGGCTGGAATATTCTAACAGATATAAAACTTAGACTCCTAGAGATTTAATCCAACATGAGGGAAGTGTTGACACAACCCTCCTTTTGGTAAGAACTCCTGGTGAGTTCTAGAACTTCCAAATCCTCATGGAGCTTCTCTCTATATAAAATTTTATAGACATCAATTACCTGGCTAAAAGCAGATCTTTGGCCCTGGTTCAGATTCCAGAGTCGACAGATCTACTATATATCAAGCTGGATGCACAGAAAATATGCTCAATCACTTTTCCCTATGTTAAAAATCCTGGCTTGGGAATTTACATCAAAATATTGTAGAATGTTAGCAGGAAAAAAAGTCCAGAAGGATCCCCCTTACATAGTGTGGCAGAGACTGTCACTATCTTCCATAATAGCTATTTGGTTCTTATTTCTTTGTAATGTAACACCTGATTTTCAGTGTGACTAGACAAAATAAAGGCTACTTTTTCCAGCTTCCCTTGAAGTTAGCTGTAACCAAGGGGCTAACTGCAGGTGAATGAAATGAAGCAATGATGCATGCCTTTCTCCAGTCAGGGGCCTGGATCACAGATATGATGGAAGAACTAGAGCAGCTCTCTTAAATAAGAGGTATCTGCTAGGAGTGGTAAAGCAGAAAGCTGGAGAGGCTTAAGCTTTAAGGACTTTGTGGAACTACCACGCTAACCTTGGACTGTCTGCACGAGAGAATTAAACTTTGTGTATTTGAGTCATTCTTAATTTGGGTTTTCATTTACTTGCACCCAAACCCAATCCTAAGGGTCAAACCAGAGGTGCTCCATAAAAAGTCCTCAGACAGAAGAGTTCTTTTCTCTCAGGTCACCTTGCCTCACAGGCGCTGGTGAAACCAATCAAGTAAGATAAGTGCTATAGGAAATGAAAGCTGCCCAGAGCAATCTATACTTTCAACACCATTCCGATCAAAATATCAATGGCACTTTTCATACTGCTGGAACAAACAATCCTAAAATTTGTATGGAACCAAAAAAGACGCCAAATTGCCAAGGAAATGTTGAAAAAGTAAGGAAAATTCTATGCAAATTCAAAGTTAGGAAAAAAGAAGAAAGGTAATGGAAAAGTATTAGGATTAAATGAACTATACTCATCTAGGAAATTCTTTCCTTGAAAATTTAAGAAGAGTTGAGTCAGAGGTGTTGAGGTCTCCTTCTATTATACTTTCTCTCCAAAGCAGAATATTTATTACACCTTTATCTTGATATAAAGTTATAATTATGGTTAATGACCTTTTTATTATCTTAATGACATTATCAAATTTATGCCTGGAATTTCTTTTTTTTTCTTTTGATAAACTTTATTGAGTTATAATTTCCATAAAATAGAAGGTACCAATTTTAAATTTAGCATCTTGTGAATTTTAGCAAATATATACATCTATGTTCTTTCAAATTTTAAAATATAGGAATGAGGTCACAGTGTATGTACTATTCTGCAACTGGTTTAGGGATTCAATAATGTCATGGACATTTTTTGTTTCATGACACTGACCTCTTTTTTTTTTTATTATATATTTTTTTATTATGTTTTGTTAGTCACCATACAGTACATCATTAGTTTTTGATGTTGTGTTCCATGATCCATTGTTTGCGTATAACACCCAGTACTCCATGCAATACATGCCCTCCTTAATACCCATCACTGGGGTAACCCCTCTTCCTCTACCCCCCCTGCCAAAACCCTTAGTTTGTTTCTTGGCATCCATAGTCTCTCATGGTTCGTCTCCTCCTCCAATGCCCCCTGCTTCATTTTCCCCTTTCTTCTCCTAATGTCCTCCATGCTATTCTTTGTATTCCACAAATAAGTGAAACCATATGATAATTGACTTTTCTCTGCTTGACTTATTCTACTTAGCATAATCTCCTCCTGGAATTTCTTACCTGGCCAGCAGCCTGAATGCTTAGGATAGCCACACGAGTATCAGGATCCTTTTGAAACTGATTAACTAGATGTATTCTTTCTGAAGATGGAACGCTTCCATCTATCCTAATGTACCGAGCCTAGTATCAACAAGGGAAATGGCAAAATTAGCACAAAACCCTATGCACCCATCCCATTTAATATGTTTCATACTGTATTTTTATGCTCAAATAATAAAATAGAAATGGGGTAAGATGAAATGTTAGTAAATGTTAAATAGGAAGAATTTTAATCAAGTTTCTTAATATCTTCTTATAACAATTCCGTATTTTTAAATCTTTTCACATACTTGACAGTAGGATCAATGTCTAATTCATCCTCACACCATCAATGCCAAGTGCAATGCCTTGTATATAACAGGAGCTCCATAAATCATCACTGAATTAAGCTAATGCCTTTAGTAAAATTCTGTGTGAATTCATACGCAAACTTTAAATGATGGATCAAATTAACTTGAAAGTTACAGGTTCACTGATTCCAAAGTAAAAATAAAGCCAGACAGGGGAAAAGAGAGAAAGAGGTTTTTACCCATATTATTATGGATTCATGAAGAACAGTGCATTTACTTCTGAAATATCCCAATATTAACTGGGAAAATATATTTTTTAGTATACCATTTGAACTAATTTTTTTTTTTTTTTTTTGCATTCTTAAGCTTAACAGAGATATGTGAAACGGTCACCTCTATTGAATTTGGGAACCAAGACACTCACACACATTTTTAAAAAGTAGGGAAACAGTAAGTGCTAAACTCAACAGTGCTATCTTCTAGAAATGATTTGGGTTAGGAAAAGGGAGCAATCAGTGTGTGTTAAAGTAGCTAAAAAGCACTCATTACTCAACTTTCTAAAATTCAGTATTAAGTCGTGAATTTCAAATAGTCTCATTTACATATGCACTTCTATGGAAAACATAACCTTATATAGTTGAGACACACAAATACTCACTTTCATAAGGAAATAGTTAATCATTAAATAGAATGCCCCATATTAACTTTCTACGTCTTCACAGACAGATATACATTGACCAGTGATCCATTAAAATCCCATAAGGGAGATTATAAAATCTTCCAACAGTCTTTCTAAAGAAAACACACATAGTCAGGCTAGGGAGACTTTGGGCGAGATTCACCTCCAACCCATGAGTACCTATTGTTTTTAATGGATAGTGATACTAAATGGGATTCTAAACATATCAGTAAAGGAGAAGTGGGGAGAATAGACTGCTATACTTAGAATAGATCCTAGTAATTTTAGTTTTAAGCTTAATGGAATCAAAATAGAAAATATTATGAATTTAATTTTATTGCCTAATCATTAGAAAAAATTTCAAAGGCTAATTAACTCTTCCCTCAAAAGGCATTTTAAAGAGGGGCGCCTGGGTGGCTCAGTGGGTTAAGGCCTCTGTCTTTGGCTCAGGTCAGGATCCCGGGGTCCTGGGATCGAGCCCCGCATCGGGCTCTCTGCTCAGCAGGGAGCCTGCTTCCTCCTCTCTCTCTCTCTGCCTGCCTCTCTGCCTACTTGTGATCTCTGTCAAATAAATTAAAAAAAAAAAATTCTAAAAAAAAAAAAAGGCATTTTAAAGATGTGATATTATAATCAGTGTGAGAGCACCTTTTCACAGATAGCATTTTATTATATTGTCATCAATCCTCCTATGAAGGAAACACTAGGATTACTTCTTTGGTAGTATTAATAAACATACTGGCAAATGTTCAAAAAATGTATACCAAGTTTTAAAAAACATGGCTTAGGGGCGCCTGGGTGGCTCAGTGGGTTAAAGCCTCTGCCTTCAGCTCAGTTCATAATCCTGGGGTCCTGGGATCGGGCCCCACATTGGGCTCTCTGCTCAGCAGGGAGCCTGCTTCCCCCTCTCTCTCTGCCTGCCTCTCTGACTACTTGTGATCTCTGTCAAATAAATAAATAAAATCTTTAAAAAAAAAAAAAAAACTCTACCTACATAGGCAAGTGGTTCTGCTGCTACATGTATATTAAGTTCACACAATTTGTCAGGAAATTTCTTCTGGCTGTTTCTGAGCATCTCTAAAAGCCCTCAGCACATAAAGAGAGATACCAGATTTAAACTCTGAAAGAAAACATGGCAGATGCTGTCACTGATAGAAAAGACTGCTGGGGAATTAGGTGAACCTAAGAAAATGCAGCAAGGCCAGCAGGTTTGGGGAGCTTACTGGAGAGGGTACCTGGCCTATCTCTTTCAAACTCACCTGTACTAAATCTTACTCTAAGTCATACTCTACAGAGTATGTTCCCTGGAAATTTAAAAGGTGTGACTGCAGCTGGACTAAAATTGGCTAAATTCATTCTGTTTCCCCTTGACATCACCTGTATTTTAAGGCTGACTTGCAGGTAAATTAAAAATTTTAATTTTTAACTGTCTACACCAGTCTCAAATGGTATATCTGGTAACAATAATGGAATTCACAATATATCCTATCAAGTCAGCATATTTTTAATCAATCCAGATAATTAGTTCAGTGGAAAATTATAATCCTGGAATAAAAGAAAAAGTTTAATAGTTTACCATCAACATAATAATAATATGATATTAGTATAATTAGCAAGAAAAAAAATCTAATCATAATGAAAATATCATCATTTAAAGAAGGCCAAAAGAACCTTCAAATTACAAGACTACAATTAATGTTTAGTATATTAAAAACCTGCATCCTAAAAAGTATTTTATATAAAAATGATAACATACCTTGTTTTCTATGACTGCTTCTGTGCAAGCTTGGAGCATGCTTAAGTGATGAGCAAAAACCAGAAACTTCAGTGAATCATTCTGAAGCATCATCTTAATATAGTCCTTTACAGCACCTGCCTAAATATTAAAAGTTAAACCTTATTAATGGTATATAAATCTTTATGAAAAAAATCACATCACTTGGAACTAGGGGGTATTATGCTGAGCGAAATAAGTCAATCAGAGAAAGACAATTATCATATGATCTCTCTGATAGGAGGAATTTGAGAGGCAGGGCAGGGGGGTCTGGGGATAGGGAAGGAAAAAATGAAAAAAAAAATGGGATCATGAGGGAGACAAACCATCAGAGACCCTTAATCTCACAAAACAAACTGAGGGTTGCTGGGGGGGGTGGTAGGGAGAAGGTGGTTGGGTTATGGACATTGGGGAAGGTATGTGATACAGTGAGTGCTGTGAAATGTGTAAGCCTGATGATTCACAGACCTATACCCCTGGGGCAAAGAATGCATTATATGTTAATAAAAATAATTTTTAAAAAATCACATCACTTCCAAAGGGACACATGCACCCGAATGTTTATAGCAGCAATGTCCACAATAGCCAAAGTATGGAAAGAACCTAGATGTCCATCAACAGATGAATAGATAAAGAAGATGGGGTACATATATATATGATGGAATATTATGCAGCCATCAAAAAATGAAATCTTGCCATTTGCAATGACGTGACTGGAACCAGAGGGGTGGCTGGGTGATAGACATTGGAGAAGGTATGTGCTATGGTGAGAAAAAATAAATTAAAAAATAAAAATTAAAAAAATCACATCACTTTATTCTAACAAAGCAAAAAAAACTTCAAAAGTCAAAAATTTCTATGAACCTTCAACTGCTTTGTTCTCTAGGTAACCTAAGGAAAGAGAGGCCCACATCTAAGGGAAAAAGGACACAAGAGAGGGGGAAAAAAAACCAACAATTCCGAGAAGTAAAAGAAGAACAAGACAAGAAAGAGAAGAACAAGTTTTGATGGAAAATAGTCAATTAGGATGTGGCCAAAAAGGGGTTGGTGGTTTTGTTTAGAAAGTAATTTTCAAAAAAGCTCATATAAAAGACTAAGTGGAATTGGGTTACCTAACTAAAAAATAAAAAATAAGAAAGCTGGGACTGGAGCTTAAGGGTTAAGGAAAGTTGATTCATTCATTTTCTTAACTAAGAAACTTTGATAGGTTTAAGAACAGGCCATTTAAGGTGTAGACAGGCAAAGAGAAATGGAAAATAAAGGGATTTAGCTTGTCTCCAGGACAAGAAGGTTGTAGAAGAGGTTGGAGTGATAGGATGAAGAGAACAGAGGGAGGTCTGAGAGCAGAGGGGTACAAATGAAGAAACTTGTGAGGTAGAAAGGAGAAAATCAAGAAAGCTCAGATTAAAAAGACTTTTCTTAGTTAACTTGAGGACAAGTTACCTATTAAGAATGAGAATATGAGATGAATTAAGTAGGAATTAAATTTAGAGCATCAATTAAATCTAAAACATGAATATAGTTTCTTAACTGTTAAAAATTAATTATTTAGAAATTTAGGGAAAAGAAAGCAGGCTGAACACATTTGACCTAGACTCCCCCTCAATGCTGTATAGCAAGGTGTACAGACAAAATCGGAAAGGGTTAACTTTGGAAATCAGGGGTGCCTGGGTGGCTCAGTCAGTTAAGCAGTGACTCTTGATTTCAGATCGTGAGATCGAGATTCGCATAGGATTCCATTCTCAGCGAGAAATCTGCTTAGGATTCTTTCCTACTATTCTACTCCCCCAACTTGTGCATGTGTGTTCTCTCTCTCTCAAATAAATAAATCTTCAAAAAGAAACAGAAAGAAAACTCTGGAAACTAAAAATTTGTTTGGTAATTATTAGCCAACCTGAGAGCTCCTAAGGTAGCAATATGGAAAGTTGAGAAGCATGTGGGTTAGAATATGGTAATGTAAAAAAGGCTTAGGAAATTGTTCCAGGGGAAGTGAGAGGTTGGGGGTGTGGCTACAACAGGAAGATTGGTCAAAGAATATTTAAGTAGTTGATTATGTGCAACACTGGTCTATATTCTCTCTGTACCCATTCCAGATGATAGAGTACTTCTCCAACCTACTCTGGCAGAAGGTAGAGATTTATTTTTTGGAAAGGGTAAAAGAGAAGGTATCTGGATAAAGGAATCCCACAGTGATGGTAGATTATTCTACAGTATCGTAGGGATTAAATAAAAATAACATAATAAATGCTGACATCTGCCTTCTCCCTCAGCCTTCTTATTCTCCCATGTCCCCCAAAAGATAAAGAAGCTTATGCCTTCTACACACGAGAGCAGAATCATATAAAATGATTGTTTTCTAGAGAATCAGAGAAGCCACAGAGAAAAGACTAAGGATTCTGATAGAGGGGTTCCTTCATAAGACATCCAGCCAGATTGCCCTTTATTGAAGGCCATAGTCTCTAAGCCATATCCATGTACCGAGTTTCCTGTCAGCGTAACCAGAAGATATTACATTTATAAAACAACAGGATGCTCCAAAAAAGGAATGATTAAGGGAGAAAGGAAGGGAAGTACTCTTGGAAATTAAAAGTATAATAGCAGAAATTAAAAATTCACTGGTTGTGAGGTTGAAAAAATCTTCCAGGAAGTAGATGAAGAGAAAACAGAGGCAAGAAAATAATCAGAGAAATAATAAAAGTTTTACAGAACTTAAGGGCATAAGTTTCCAAAATGGAAAATGGAATAGGTCCTCTGAGGATCCTTCACAATGGATGAAAATGGACCTAGTGCAAGGTCCATCATCATGAAATTTTAGAACACTGGGGACAAAGAAATAATTCTATAAGTTTCCAGGGAGTGGAGGAAAAGAATTAAAATAGAATAAAAGCTTTGAAGTGCATTGGATTTCTCAACATCAGTACTAGTAATTCTGAGAGAAAATTATTTCTAAGAATTTATACCCAGCCAAATTAAAAATCAATTATAAAAGTAGAATAAAGCCATTTTCGAATATGTGGAGACTCAAATATTTGATGACAGCTAAAATTACAAAGCAAGCAGTAATACAAACCAAGAAGCAATATAAACATGTTGCTGAGGGATTTGAAGTAAATACTGGAAAAAACAAAACAAAACAGCTAAAAGAACAGAAAATGGTTGCCTCGTGGGAATAACTTTAGAAGACTTATTTTTTTGAAATAGCTGTTTCCTCATTAAACTATGATCATATGTAGTTTTGGTAATAAAAAAAAATGTAAAGAGGGGCATTTCCAAATGGAAAAATACCTATTTAAAATTAATACACATCACCATGAAGTCACAGAACTGATTTTGCAAGTTATATTTTATATGTACAAATTTTCCAAACAATAGAAATTCATCATCCAATGAGACTGGAGGCCATTAAGAACTTTAGCCTTGGATTTCAATGCCTCAGAGAGTGAAATGAAGTCCTCTCAAAATAAGGAGCTATAAATTCCAGATACGTTGCTATGGGAACTGAACCACTTTAATAAACTGCTTGTTTGACTAAAGTGCTGTATTTACTGTGATAAGTCTTTCAAAAAGCACATGTCAAGTTGGAGTATTTTTAAGGTACATCCATTTACCACCCATTGCAGACTTAAAATTATACAACCACTGTACCCCCAGTCTCAGATGCATTCCCTGCCTAAAGAAAACTATTTCTGCCAGAGTCCCCTGCACTATCACCCCTTCCTCATTACAACAGAAAGCTGCTGATGTCAAAGCCCAAGCTTCCTGTTCCCCACTCTTCTAATCACTGGTTTAGAAAGGCTTACAGTTAATATAAACATTACAAAGTTCAATTATATAATGGGCTAAACAGTCTCATGGGACTAGCCTGGTAACTTCATCACTGAGACCTTGCGTCCTACAAGAAAGACAACCAAAATGTCTATGTAACAAATAAACTCTAGTATTTTTTTTTTTTTAGGTTCTTAATATGGGACTGCAAAGGAGTACATCTTAAAATGTACTATACAAGGGATTGTTCTGATTTTATTCTAATTAAAAATGTCACTACAGAAAAAGGGCTGATATCCAAGATCTATAAAGAACTCCTCAAACTCAAGAGAGATAATCATGTCAAAAAATGGGCAGAAGAAATGAACAGACACTTGTCCAAAGAAGACATACATATAAATGGCTAACAGACACATGAAAAAATGTTCATCATCATTAGCCATCAGGGAGATTAAAATCAAAACCACACTGAGATACCACCTTACACCAGTTAGAATGGCCAAAATCAACAAGACAGTAAACAACAAGTGTTGGAGAGGATGTGGAGAAAGGAGAACCCTCTTACACTGTTGGTGGGAATGCAAGTTGGTGCAGCCACTTTGGAGAACAGTGTGGAGATTCCTCAAGAAATTAAAAATAGAGTTTCCCAATGACCCTGCAATTGCACTACTGGGTATTTACCCCAAAGATACAGATGTAGTGAAAAGAAGGGTCATCTGTACCCCAATGTTCATAGCAGCAATGCCCACACTCGCCAAACTGTAGAAAGAACCAAGATGCCCTTCAACAGACGAATGGATAAAGAAGTTATGGTTCATATATACAAAGGAGTATTATGCCTCCAACCCAACTTTTGTATCAACATGGACTGGACTGGGAAGAGATTATGCTGAGTGAAATAAGTCAAGCAGAGAGAGTCAATTATCATATGGTTTCACTTACTTGTGGAGAATAAGGAATAACATGGAGGACATTGGGAGATGGAGAAGAGAAGTGAGTTGGGGGAAATCGGAGGGGGAGACAAACCATGAGACTGTGGACTCTGAGAAACAAACTGAGGGCTTTGGAGGGGACGGGGGTGGGGAGTTGGATGAGCCTGGCGATGGGTATTAAGGAGGGCACATATTGCATGGAGTACTGGGTGTGGCGCATAAACAAGGAATTGTGCAACACTGAAAAAAATAAAATTAAAAAAAAAAACTGTCATTGCATTGTCATATTTTAAGTTGAGCAGGATTTGCTTTCAAACTATCTCAAATACAAATTATGTGGAATGGCAGGTCCTGATCGGCATTTTGGTTATGCCAGAACAGGTTTTGTAGAAGTTGAAAAAATGT